CAAAGGCAGCTGAGAACTGGCATACGGCTCTGGCCCCCTCTCTGCCTCCTACACAGAGCCCATGTTCCTCCCCAACCTCCTCACTGTGCGAATCTGCTGCGAGCTGTGCAGACTGCTGGCAGGCCACAACCAAATTTGCTTCGGTGACCCAGATACAAATGAAATAACAGAAGAGAAGCTTGGGGTTAAATGGAACTTGTGACAACGTAATAACTCTAGGCTTATTCCTCTCTTGACGCCCTCTCCAATGGAAACCTGCAATTTCCAATCTAGATTTTTGCCTATCGTGGATAGCCGTTTCATGCATTATGATTTAAAGAAAGCAAATGGTTTCCAACATACCGATAAAGGAGAATATTTGTAGCTCCGGTTTGGACTGGAAGGGGGGGTGGTCCTTGGTGCTCTCTGAGCTTGGTGGTTTTCTTGCAGATGTTTCATGACCAAACAAGATAACATTATCAGTGCTAGTAGGAAGTGAGGTTTGATTTGTTTGCATCTTCATTGTTGGTCTCATGCAGGGGTGTTAAACTCGCATCATCACGTTGTTGTCATGTGACATATCACGATTTTTCCCCTTTGCTAAAACGGGGATGGGCGTGGCCAGCCTGTGATGCATCCGGCCCGTGGGCTGCGAGTTTGACACCCCTGACCTAATGTTAATCTCAGGGTTAATCCTTCTATGTGTGTTATTGTTGGAGAACAGGTATTTTGGAATTTTGTTTCTTTTCCAACAATCAAGAAGCCAAGAAGGCAAGGAACTACCAACTCAGAGAAATAAACTAACAGTAAACAGTAGTAATGGGACCTGGTGGCTCAGTGGCTAAGATGCTGAGCTTGTCGATCAGAAAGGTCAGCAGTTCGGTGGTTCGAATCCCGAGCGCCACGTAACGGAGTGAGCTCCCGTCACTTGTCTCAACTTCTGCCAACCTAGCAGTTCGAAAGCACGTAAAAAATGCAAGTAGAAAAATAGGAACCACTTTGGTGGGAAGGGAACGGCGTTCCGTGCGCCTTCGGCGTTGAGTCATGCCAGCCACATGACCACGGAGATGCGTTCGGACAGCGCTGGCTCTTCGGCTTTGAAACGGAGATAAGCATCACCCCCTAGAGTCGGGAACGACTAGCACATATGTGCAAGGGGAACCTTTACCTTTAAACAATAGTAAGGAATCACCAAGACCACCCCCAGCAACACTGACAGGAAAAGCCACTGATATATATAAAATGAGAACACACCCCACTCCCTTCTAGCACTGATGATGTTACCTAGTCAGGTGGTAAAACGTCTGCAAGAAAACAGCCAAGCTCAGAAGCACCAAAGACCTGCAAACTTAATAAATCACGTGGTCTCTAATGAATTTATAATGCATGAGATGTTATTTGTACCACAGACTCTCCCCCCCTCCCCTGCAAATGTTCACGTAACAATGAATTTTAATTTTTGATTACCTGCTCGGAATAAGCAGCTGATCGTCTCCTAACGGCAGAGCAATCTGGAATTTCTCTAGAAGCTTGAAGTATTGGCACTTGCAAATCTCAGGGAATTTACTGTTCTTTAGCAGGGATTTTTCCACATCTGAACGCTTTATGATCCCTTTGGGGTATTTGGTAAAGCCATCCACCTTCACCGTAAAGATCTACGGAAGAGAAATCCGTCTCACAAAACTCCACTACGATTTGCTTAGTTTTAAAATCATGTCACACACCAAGCTTTTCTCTTCATCTACCGTATTTTTCAGAGTATAAGACGCACCGGAGTATAAGACGCACCAAGGTTTTAAAGAGGCAAATTTAAAAAAAAAAGTTTTTGCACTCTGCGAACCTCCCCCAAATGGCCTGTTTTTCGCGAAAACGGGTCCGTTTTTTTGTCAAAAAAGGGGAGCATGGATAGCCATTAGGAGGCTTATAGAATGCTCCTGGGGGCTGGGGAGGGCAAAAACGAGCATTGCTCATTTCTGCCTTCCCCAGCCCCCAGGAGCTCTCTATATGCTTCCTAGAGGCTCTGCACGGCCATTTTGGTGAAGGAAGCAGGGTTTCGGGAGGCAAAAAATGCTGTATTCAGTGTATAAGTTGCACACAGCTTTTCAGCCTCTTTTTTGAGGGAAAAAGATGGGTCTTATACTCCGAAAAATACGGTATATATATAAATGTGTGTTTGTGTGTGTGTGTGTGTGTTCTAGCATAACTCTGGAATGCCTCAAGCAATTTTAACCAAACTTGGTACACAGATGACTTACTCTCTGAAAACAAATACTGGGGGGGGTAAAACACCCCTAACACCCCTCGGGATGTGTGTTCTGTTAAGATACAGCCTGTTGTGCCTTCAAATGGCTTCTACTGTACTGCCATAAAATGGATTCTACTGTACAGCGCAGTGGAGTTGCCATAGTAATGGCTTCACAGTACTCCACAAGGGGGCTCCTTCTTATAAGGGGGAAAATCCAACATTAGAAATTACGTTTGGTCCGGACATTTCCCCCCTATAATAAATACCCAGGCAATGCCGGGTTATCAGCGAACTTTCAAATAAAAGAAGAATATTCTTTATTGGCCAAGAAATTTGATTCCGGTGTGACCCAGGCCGCCAAACTGGTAGGAATCCACCATAGGGGTAAAAAAAGAGAAAATAAAATTAAAAAAATAGAGCCATCCAGAAAACCTGGTTAGGAACCGTATTTGAGACTAACCTGGGCTATGATTTTACACAGCCATTTGGGATCGACAAAATAGAGATTTCTGAGCTGAAGGGCTGGATCTTGAAAGTGGAGCAGGACACCTAAATTAAAAAAAATAGTCCTTTTTAATATCTTTCAGTGTGTACAGAACATTTTAACAATAGTATGGTTTATTGCAGGTAGTCCTCGACTTACAACCACGATTGAGCCCAAAGTTTCTGCTGCTAAGTGAGACAAGTGAGCTTCGGCCGATGTTACGACCTTTCTTGCCACCGCTGTTAAGTGAATTGCTGCAGTGATTAAATGAGTCACATGGTTGTTAAGTAAATCTGGCTTCCTCATTGAGGTTGTCAGGCCTGCAGCCATCTTTTCTTTTGGATCTT